GCACTGGTGCGGCCGCACCTCGAATACTGTGTTCAGTTTTGGGCCCCTCACTACAAGAAGGACGTTAAGGTGTTAGAGCGTGTCCAGAGAAGGGCAACGAGGCTGGTGAGGGGTCTGGAGAACAAGTCTTAAGAGGAGCGGCTGAGGGAACTGGGGTTGTTTAGCCTGGAGAAAAGGAGGCTGAGGGGAGACCTTACCACGCTCTACAGCTACCTGAAAGGAGGTTGTAGTGAGGTGGGTGTCAGTCCCTTCTCCCAAACAAGCGATAGGACAAGAGAAAATGGCCTCAAGTTGTGCCAAGGGAGGTTTAGATTGGATATCAGGAAAAATTTCTTCACTGAAAGGGTCGTCAAGCATTGGAACAGGCTGCCCAGGGAAGTGTTTGAGTCACCACCCCTGGAGGTATTTAGAAGACATATAGATGTGGTGCATAGGGACATCGTTTAGTGGTGGACTTGGCAGTGCTAGATTAACGGTTGGACTTGATGATCTTAAAGGTCTTTTCCAACCTAAACAATTCTATAATTCTATGACATTTTGTAGTATGAATGGTTAATATTTAAAGTAGTTCAACATGTTCTGTTTGATTAAAAGCTTTCGCAGAAAGTCTTTATTTGTGGAAAAAGATGACAATCCTTTTGAGGAAGGCACAGTGGCTAATGTATCACAACCATTGTAAGAATTTAAAAATATTCATGGACATGTTTTCTTACCACAAAGCACAAGTGTAATAGTCTTCCTCTTCAGCCAAACAGAACTGCATTAGCCAATATTTTAATTCTGCAACTGCATTTACCAGTAAACCCACGTATATAAGGACACCCAGCCAGAGGTTAAATGGAACCTAAGGAAAAACACTATTGTAATATGTCTTTCTCCACATGTAAATCCGAAGATGCTATTTAACAACAAACCTGCTATTCCCAGAAATACAGCACTGATGGGAACTTCATCAGATTGCTGTAGAATGTTGCCATTTTACTCTGATTCTTGAAATAATAATCTTATTTTTCAGAGTATAACTTCTTGCTCTTTACAGCTGTCATCGTCAACATTTAAGAATGGAAAGTACTCTACAATGCACAGCCATTTAGCATGCTACCATCAAGTGAGGACATGAAGACAATTCTGGATCATTTGAGTAGTATAGCTTGTAGGGGCAATGTTTTCAGAAACATGAAACAATTTTCAGATCCTGAACTTGAGAAAATTTTATAGAGGTGATTTCTTAGCACTGCAATAATTCTGCCCCTTTCCTGATACTTCGCTAGGGAGACATCAAAAAAACAGAAGCACTTACTATCACTAGACATTGCTGAAATTCTTGGCATAAATAAGTCATTGCATTTCTGATTAAAGAGATTTTAAAGAGCAGAATCAAAATCTCAGGAACTTTAATTTACTCTCCAGAAAGCCCCTTCTGTTTTCAGCCACTAAAACATGGGCCTCCATACTTTTCAAACTTAATGTGGAGACAGCTTCAGACTTTCAACTCAGTCATTTCTGTTAAAGATATATTTACATTTGAAATCACTTGCAAAGTAGCCCTAGAGACTAACATAAACTGATTTTTTCCCTACCAATTTTTTTGTTAAACAAGATTCAAACCAGGAGCTAGAAACATCGCTGAAATACAAGCAGGAATTTAGGATGTGTGACAGGGTTATTAAGGTAAGGCCCCACTGGATCCAGTCTTCCTTATAGGAACCTACCAGTCACAAAAACATGCAGCTCTGAGAAAAGCAGGGACCTGTCTCTTCCACATATTTTCCACAATTAGGATAAGGACTGCAAGGGAAGCTGTACAACTTCCACTGGTAAAAACGGCTGCATTAACAGCTACAGTCAAAGCACTTTTGATGGATTTGACTGATGTTCCCAGCCTCGTGCTTACTCATATTCTATTCCCAACCTTCTGCACCCACATCACCTTATTCAGTCTCCTTATATCAGCTTCACTTACTGTGAGACATTTTTCCCTTACCTATTCCCCTTTACTGACCTATCCTCTTCAATTTCTCTTGCCATTTGGTTTGTCCCTTCCCCACTATACCCAACCCAATAAATCCTTCAGTGAACTACCAGTGTTTTCTGCCATATTATTCCTCATGCTGCTTTTGCAAAATATCCCTTCTCCAGCATTTCATCCCTCCCGCCTTCAGGACAGCACTAATACTGTGTGACTGTACCTAACACAAAGGGAACATGTTCTAGATTGGTATACTACGTTAATTAATATAAAAGACTAAAATCACGGTAGTCTTTAGCTTATACTACCTCACTATTGTCACTTATCCAGTTTGTATGGTAAGAGTGGTAAAAGCTGTCCCCTGGAAGTGAAGAAATCAGATTGCAGTGTCCTTCACAAAGGACAGGGAAGGAAGTTCATGCAAACTTGTACGGATTGAAATAGTTCTTTTCAAAGTATGTCAGTAAAAATAGATTTTATACAAGTCTGTAATAAGACAAAGGCTAATTAGCTGCAACCACTTTTTCTTGAGGTCAAGAGGAGTTACACCTGGGATGATTTTAGCCTAGAATAGCCACACTTATCAATGAGGAGTTTTTTTTTTTTTTTTAAAACTCAGGACATATCACATCACACCTTCATTTTTACTTGACACTAAAGTGACAGGGCTAATGAAACAAGTTATTTTGATAGGACACAACCTACTTGAAAATAACACTTATGTCTCAGCATTCTATACTCCGTATAACACCCAAGATTGCTGTAACTTAGAGAAGTCGGTCAATATTTTATCTTTTTTTTTTTTCCTCTGCATTTTTCTCTCGCTTTTCCCACCAGTTTGTGTAGCTGGCAATATTCTGTGGATCAACAGCCCCATTGTTTCCTTCTCATCACTCCTTTATGAGATCTCAAGCATATACAGCTGGTCATCAAGCAGTGTTTCTAAGGATGTTTCATTCTTTCAGAACTTCTTTCAGTTCACGTACAAAAACTGCAGGTTCTCCTCGTCCTGCAGCAGTCTCTCTGCTGAGACTCTTTCAGAAGGAGGATGATCCAGGAGGCACAAGATTGCTGACACCTACAGTAGTCCACTAGGATTGTCAGTCAGGCATTGGCAAAACCTTGTCCTGGATTCACTGAGGTTTACTGAAGCTGAGATGTTTTGAAGAAAAACATTTCAGGTTCACTATGTCACCACCTTCCTCTGTCATTTTATCTAGAAAATATCCACCTATTGCTGGAAGTAACTTACCAGCAGATGTCTTATTAGCTTAAATAGGACTTCTGCTCACAGAACTTTGAAAAACTATACACAGTACCAATCATTACTTTCAACACAGTTATGCTCAGAGGACAGGAACCCATTGAGGCAGTCTCAAGCAAGGCAATCTGTGGTCCACTCGATTTTATTCAGCTTCTTATCCCAACGCTTCACTGAAGCACTACAGTTAAGGCCCTATTAGTGTTACAGTAAGAAGGGCTCCATGCCCCAAGGGTTACCCTGCACAGGTTTGATTGCAAGAGGAACACTTAAAATTCCAAAGGACAGACAAAAAACGTCTGATTAGCAGAACACAGCATAAAAGCAACACATGCAAGGTACTACAAGACGCTAAATACTGCCATTCAGTAACTGTACATGTCTGGTTTGCTGTCTCTTTTTTAACCTCAACCCTCAAAACACAGGAAAGGTGGGACAAAGAAATAAGATCGAAGTACTTACCCTTCTTCCCTTCGTTATTTAATATAGAATATGTCTTTCAGTGTACCTTTTTAAATCAAAAAAATACGTAGAATCACATCTAGAAAATACACTTGACAGCCCTTCCATTGAGCACTTCTTTCTGCCATTTCTTGCTGATATTGCAAGTGAAGGAGAACCCGTTTCGGGTACAGTACTCGTTCAGATGCTTTGAATCATCCTGTGCAAGTCTCTCCCTTCCTTTCTCACTCCTCTGCCTATTAAGGTACCTAGTTTAGGTTTACTGGAATTAAGTGCTATGAATACATCCTGCCCGCTTCACCCCTTACTCCAATTCCTTTTAAACATAGAGCTACTCCATGCCAGCCCTTATGACTATGCTGAAATCAAATAGCTCTATCTGCCCCAGTGAGTTAAGAGGAATCTCTCTGCAAGATTCCCAGCCTGGTTACAAGTTAGAGACAGTTCCTGTGGTTTGCCAGAAAGCTTCTGAAGGACTACATTTCTGCACCGGAGGAATTAATAGCTCCAAGCTTGTAAAGATTTACATATCTTCACAAAATGTCAGTAAATCTGCAGCTGTCATATCAGAGACGATGATTAGCAATGTGCCTATTAAACAAAGGGGTAGTGAAATCTGATTTGCATATTTCTGACACACATGCGAGTTCCCACCGCTTTCACAACATAGAATCTACACGGTTCACTTTATTTTCATTAAAATTAACACATTTCACTGATGACCTTTAAAGGAATGCTTGCTTCCAGACTCTTACACGCACCGTTGATCTACTACACTTTGTCAGCAAAACAATGATCATTCCTAAGATGCCTCTGAAAAGCTACAGTCTTACACAGATCAGTCCATAAAGTTCCCACTGACGTAAGCAATGCAGAGATGCAGAATTTGCATAATCAGCTCATTTGCTGCATTCAGCAACAAGGGACATATTCTGCCAATTCACACCCTCACCAGAAGGTTGCTCTAGTTAAGAAGAAATTGTCACATTGCAATGCAACAGACATGAAGTACATTAGCTGGGTAGCAGCTAACTAAATAAGCAAATGAAGATGTATGTAAGTTATTATTACCTTTGCTCCACAGACAATGAAAATGTTCTTTGTCAAAAGACTGGTTCAGAATCAGAAGGCAAAACTTCAGGTTTCCTGTAAGACAAATGTTGATTCTTATTAGCAAGAATATTGATTCCCCCCCCAACTCCTTTTTTTATTTTGCTTTTGCCATATTAATTTTAGTCCAGCCACCTCAGAGCAACTCCACTAATTTCTTTGCTTCTTAGGTTTCTTCATTTTCAGGTAGAGAAACTACCAGAGCTTCATTAGGCACCTTTTACTTGGTAGGGTTTTGCTAAACTTTAAATTTATAAGTTACGTTTACCCACTGAAGGCCATCCTCAACGGGACCCCACATCTATGCAGCTCTCTCGTTTAATCTCCCACTTGCTGCTGCCGCCTGGATGCAGCACTTACTGATAGGAGTTTCACCCTGGCCTCTATTAACAGCGAAGGCTATAGCTGACTCCCTATGAAGCTGTCTCTAATCTAGGTCAAATATTCAACTCTCCTGGTGGACGCAGAAATCTTGCTGCCATCAGTGGCTTCTCTGTCTACATTTTTGTATCATGTAAAAGCTCTAAGTGTGGTAGATTCACTCTGGTAGATACTTTACAAATACAGAATGAAAGGCCATGCCCAAGGAGCTTAAAATCAAAGCTAGTAAAAGCAAAAGCGAACTTTAGCCTGTGTTATCTAGGTGATACTGCAGACTAAAAATCTCAGCAGATTTACCAGCAGCCTGAACTGATCCAACTTGATTGGGCTCCTAAAGCCTCCTGCCCTAGCAATATATCCATTGTGATGGTCGATAATAAACCTACAAATATAAAAGCCTTAAAATAAAAGGATTTATGATATGACACACTTTGGTTTCAGAGAATAAATACATAAATCTTATGATGGTTGCCTGCGGTAGGATTTGCATTATTTCACCTCCTAATTATCTTGCCAATCACAGGAATACAAGTTTCCCCTGGAACTTGATATCCTTAGGCAATCAGGTTAATGAAGTATTATTTGGTCACGTGAAGCCACTGTAACTGGAAAAAGAAAACCTCTATCACTAGAAAGTCTTTTGGGCTTTTGAGCAGATCCAGTATAGCAGGAGGCAGAAGGCTACAGGTGAAGCTGTGGCTTAAACCATATGATGTTACCAGGGAAAATACAGGTGGTCCAAGCCCTGAAGGTGCAGGAACATCTTGGGGTGGGAGTAAGGAGGGGACAGTCTCTAAAATAACGAATGAAATGCATGGTTAGGAGCATGAAGTGAGAGTTAGGAGATTGGGACACCGCTATTCTGCACCTCGCCTTTCGAGTGATTTAGGGTTTCTCCACTGACCCGTTCTATGCCTCAGTTCCCTAAAACAAGAAACAACAGTATTGTCCTCCTTTGTAAGTATCAAGAGAAACACTACTGAAGACCTAAATAATTTTTACTCCAGTAAAAAGGCTACATGTCTATCACAGCTATCTTCTGCATGGTGCCTTCAAATACCTTCCCTCATGTCTTCCACCTGCATCTTTGCTGACATGGTCCACACTTCTATCTAATTCATGTCTATATAGGGGAATAAATTTACTTAGGGAATAAATTTACTTAGAAAAGAATGGACAGGTCAGAGGACCAAGTAAACACAGGAAAGTGAGAAAAACCATTTTCTTTGCGCAGTCTGAACAGTTTTGCCTTGTCCTTGAACTTTAAGAGAAAGGTAGAAAACAATACATTCAAACTAAGTGCCAATTTCCAGCTGCCTCACAAAATGGGACCTCAGCAGCAGATCTCTTAATGATGGTTAAGTGAGAAAGGCTGCCAACTCCTTATATTAAATGTAATCATCTGGTGGTGCCCTCCACTGAAGACAGTCAGCAAACATCACAGGTTCTTTTACTGATACGATAACACAAATAGACACGGGTACTGAAATAGACGTGGGTACTGTAAACCTATTCCTGCTAGTGAATCACAAAAGGCATTTCTGTGTTTGTTTTAAACCGTTAAGGCCATATCACCATATGAAAATGCAGTAGATTTTTAGCTTTTTTTGCACATCAGGAGGACTCTTGTTATATATTAAGATACGTTCTTGAAGCCAAGGACTGGCTGTAGGTGTCCAGACCAAGACTCCAGAGGCTGATTTTCAGAGGTGACACTTCCAAGAGCTTCCAGTGAGGCCTGTAAGAGCTGCTGGCTCTTACTTGTTCAGTTGTTGCAAAGAAGCAAAGAATTAGATGCACCCATCACACACAATTAGAGGGTTTTTTTTGTGTGGTTTGGGTTGCATTTTTGTTTGTGGGGTTTTTTTTAAGCACAGTTATGGGTTGAAAAAGTGGAGAAATGGAAATTATTTTTTTGCCTGCTTTTAGAAAAGTGAACGTTCCTGTCATTTCAAATCACTGCAATTAATGCATGATAAAATGCTATGATTAATGCTACCAAAATGAACCTAAATGTCAATATTTTAATGGTGCTCGCTGAGTTAATATAAAGCTGCACAAAGGGCTCAGTTCTTGGTAGATGTAAAACAGTAATAAAATTGGGCTGCAATAATTTACAACCATTGCCCTAAAAACTATTAATAAATTGAGACTTCTGATGGCAAAGACCACGTCAACAGACAGAATATGCAACATCCATCACTCCGAGAAAAACTGATGAGAGCTCACTGTGCCACTGCTCCGAGCACTCTACTGGCTATTCATTTGAAAACAAATCTACTTCAAGGCCATTTATCTTTAAAAGCCCTTAACAAATTAGGAAGCATCTATCTCCTGGACTGCCTGTTCATCCATTTTTCACAAAGATAATTAGCACCCTGACCCAACCATTAACGAAACTGTACTCTGTTTGGACTAACGGGAAAGAGAATTCTGTAAGCAAGAATTTAGCAGCGAAAATAACCTGTCCCCAGATATGGACATCTCCACTGAAGAAGCTTTTGTTGGCCTTTTGTTAGAGGCAGAACAAGTTGGTCTTTTGCATAGTTTATTCCATTTTTAGTATGATTTTCTCTTTCATTTTGTACTTTCCTTGCAGCTTTTGCAGACTGAGCAAATTCAGCCATCTGCAGCACAAGCAGAAAAGAATAAATTCCTCCATACAAAACCTCCAGCTTATTCCTGATGTTATCATCAACACAGAGAATGAATGGAGCCAAGTCCCACAATGTAAGTCTTCTTGTAGAGGAATTAGCCACGCAGTAAGGTCTAATTTCTACAGGACAGGAAGACAGAAGGATAACTATAGTAAATTTTTACTTGCATTTAGGGAACCAAATTTGTTCATATCCAGTCTTACCCGCTTGTTTTCCTATTTGCTGCTTATAAACCTTGCAGTCTTACAGGCATAACTTACAGTCGTATGTATTAACAGGTGCACAACTACATCAACAGCCAGTTACATGCAAAAACATAGTTTTCAAAAAAATCTTTTAGCAGGCATAGAAAATTCCTAGTCTTTGGATAAAGCTGGATCATTTTAATCCTGCTGGAAGCACAGAGAACCATTTCCTTACTTTCCTAGGTTGCAAATCAATCAACAATCCCTACAAGTCCCACTAGGACCATCAGTGAATAACCTCATCCTTTCTGAAAACTTTTTCCCTTCTCTGCTTTCTAACTGTTATTTAACTGCACTTCTTTGACAAAGCTTTTCTCATGGTTGCTTAGAAAGGACTTTAATCAAAGGTGTTGTGAACGTCTCCGACAGCCTGTGCAATGCCTTTTTACCCCATTTTAACTCGCTCAGAAGAATTCCATTATATTTTAGAGCACACATTTTCTATTCTAAAAGACTTCTTGGCTTTTCCCTGTCATATTATACTCATCTAGCTATTCTATAAATATTAATAATATCATTATGCATTTTTTATTTATTTCCCCTTGTCACATGCCAGTCTTCAGGCTGTATGTCTGTCACAAAGCATATGCAAAAGGCATATATATTTTTAAAGACAACCTTTTCTCTGGTAGCCAATAAAATAATATATGCCCCTTCTTTGTCTCCTTTCAGTGTTAGAATAATATTGCTAGAAGTTATTCTGCACACTGTGCGGTTCCTGGCTATTGAAATTTCCGAGGGGGAAAAAAGCTTTCATTGCTTCAAACAAGAGGGCCTTTGGGAAAGATCACTGCTATTCCCAGTCTTTGTGAAATGATGTAAGTGGTAACACACAATGAGGGGATACGCTGTGCTAAGATACTGGCATGACTCAAGGTGTTAACAAAGTATGACTCCAAAGTCAGAGTTTCAACCACAGAAAGGGGCTTCCGCTAAGCAATTCATGTTTTGGTTTGTTGTTTGGTATTTGTGCTTTACTGCTTGCCTGAAGAGGAGCCGTTCCTTTCCTTTCCAGTGAGCTATCAAGCATCTTCCACAAAGAGGCAGGTTTAGTACCGAGGAAGAAGGAGGAAAGAGACAGGTAGTACGGGGGCAGAGGGATTTCACCATTAGTAAAATATTTCATTAATTTAATCTAGAAAGTTGAATGCTGGAAGATAGTTATAAATTTTCAGAAGATTTCTGTACTGGTAGAAATACATCTAGATATGCAAGATACTAACCAAGATCCCTTGAAAAGATACTGCAGAGATTTGGGTTACACATATTCCTGATCACATAGATGGGAGTCCAAATATACAATGAGCTTCTGAGAGAAAAACTCTGAATGATCCCACTGAAAACTTCCTCCTGCTCATGTTGCTGCTCTCACATCAGTCTACTTTCCAGGACAAAAAAGAAAAAAAAAAAAAAAGAAAAAAAAAAGATTTGGTTTCCAGTACCATCATTCAGGAAATTCCTGCCCCACAGATTTGTTTTTTAAATGAACAGTCACTGCCTACTTAAATGTCAGAGTATGTGGGAAGGGACAAGGCATTTTTTCACAATTCCAAAACAGTGGCACTGATAAAAGACAGCAGATCAACAGGCTGCGGCAGCTCTTCGAATCGCAGTTGAAGTTTCTTCTGCTGCAGAAGAATAAGCATTGAAATTATGATTCTAAGAATTCCACTTAAGTTATCTTTAGTGGGAGCCTATCATAATAAACCCTAAAGAAAGCAGTTCATGAAACCAGCAAACATAAAATA